TCCTGTTTGATGTTTTCCCGCTCCAGTTCTGAGAGCATGTTGTTCCGCTCGATATAGAGTCTTTGATTCGCAAGTCGTTGCTCGTTGATATTCAGCTCTGAGTAAGATTGATTCCAGAGCTCGAGCATTTTCTTCCGGTACGCTCCTGGCGCATCGGATCGTGCTTGATAGTAAACCCGCATGACGTCAATGTTCATGGATTTTGTCCATTTCATACGTTTCCGTGCGGGGGGCATATTTTCTGTAGCAGAGGAGGGTCGACTGTCAACCCCGGCCCCTGGGACAGAGCTGAGTCTTTCACCAGTAGCCCTTACTCCCACTTCTGCCTGGTGAGGAACAGGAACGTGAGAGCCTCCGGACGCCAACTTATCACTGACTGCACCGGGAGACCTGCAGCCAGCGCGGCCCTTTTTATCCTGGGCGACGGCCGAGCCAGTATGAATTTTTCTAAGTTGTGGCATGTTTCCATGAGTGTGAGGACCTGGCAGGTGAGGCGCATGCGCCACAGCCACCTGTTGCACGGGGTGCACATGGTGATCCTCTGATCCATGGGGCACCACGGCCGTTGGACTGTCAAGAGTCTCATCCGCCCTTTATCGGTGAAGTGCCCAACACCGCCTTAGGCAAGCAGCTCGATGTTCCCATGTCACCCATCCAGGTTGTGACCATATACGTACGTATATATCAATATATACGAGGGGTGGTGAAAAGTAATAGGAATTTATTTATTAAACAAGAACGATTAGATCTAAGGTAACAAGAGTCAGCCCATACGTAGGCCAACATGTAAGCATTAGGACCTATCAATGCCATTCAATACACTCAGTCCATTCTCGAGTTATAGGCCGTGCTGTCCCTTGCTATTTTTCTATTATGGAAGACGCGGTGAAAAATCAAAGGTCAATAATGTTCTTTTTGTGGAAGGAAGGAGTCAAAACTGTTGATATTGTCAAGCGCTTGCAGTGTGTTTTCGGAGATGCTGCTGACTCAAAAAGCACAGTTTATTTTTGGATTAACCGCTTCAAGAGTGGTCGGCAAAGCCTTGATGATGACCATCGGACTGGAAGGCCCTCCACTTCAGTTAATGAAGAAAATGTGGCAGCCGTGGAAGAGCTTGTGATGGAGGACAGGCGAGTGACCGTGCGAGAGATTGCCAGGGCCCTATGCATCAGTTTCGACTCTGTTCACTCGATTCTGCACAACCATTTGGGCATGAGCAAAGTTTCAGCGCGATGGGTACCTCGGCTGTTGGGGCCAGACCAGAAGCTCAACCGTACAGTGACATGTGGTCAGCTTGTGGACTTGGCGAAGAGGTACGGTGAGAACTTTTGGCTTCGGATTATTACTGTAGATGAGACCTGGGTGCCATACTTTAATCCGGAGACCAAATCCCAATCGATGGAGTGGCGGCGCCCTGATGAAGGCCCTCCAATAAAGGCTCGATCAAATCCGTCCGTTGGCAAGGTCATGATGACCGTTTTTTGGGATTGTCAAGGCATTATCCTCATAGACTATCTTCAGAGAGGTCAAACGATAAACGCCGAATACTATTCTGGTTTGCTGAAGGGCCCCTTGCGCACCCAATTGATCAAAAAACGCCCAGGAAAGCTCCACGCACGACCATTACTGCAGCAAGACAATGCCAGGCCCTATACTGCAAGACGAACTATTGATGCTATAGCCGATCTGCGATGGGAGTTGCTGCCTCACCCACCCTACTCTCCTGATTTGGCTCCAAGTGATTACCACCTATTCCCGGAACTGAAGAAACCACTTCGGAGCAAGCGTTTTTCTTCTCTACAAGAGGTCAAGGATGCGGTAGAACGTTGGACTAAAAGCACACCAAAGGAATTCTTTAATGATGGCCTTAGGAAGTTAGTCTCTCGTTGGAAAAGTGTATTGCACTCCAGGGTGATTATATTGAAAAGTTAAGTGTAAATAATGATGAATAAATATGTTGATTGGGAAGAAATTCAAAATTCCTATTACTTTTCGAACACCCCTCGTATATATTTTCGGTCGAGGGCCAAAAGCGGACGACAAAGTCTTATTAAAAGATTTGGCTGAAACCCAATCGAGAGAACGAAGAGGAGGGAACGAAGAGTGCCGTATAATTGCCTCGATCACTCAAAAACCATATAAGAAATCTCTGAATGGAAGCAATCCCATGTGGCAGACCTTCGGTTCGCGCAAAAGTATCGAAAAAAGTCGCGTTTAAAGCGGACTTCAGTTTCTCTCCCACTTCGCCTGCTCCAGCTTATTCTCGCCAAACGCATTTGGACACCCATATCATGACCAATGAGATCATGTACTTTCGCCGAAATCGATGAGACTTTTTACTACACTCGTTCAAAAGCTGTAATTCTCTCATTGGCTCTCGTCCTGTCCCATAATCCCGTCAAGGAGACTTGTATGCCGTATCGAAAGGCCAGGTTTCGTACACACATTGTGCGAGTGAGTGCCTCAAATGGCTGGCGATTTTGGGTTCGGATGGAGGTGGCGGCAAAGAAATAATGGAAGCCCCATAAATAAATCACAGATCTTTTTACTCATAACAATACAGGCTAACAAGAATAATAATATATGTTATATTCCCCTTCACAGAGTCTCCCACTCCGACAATTTTTAAAATCAGATTTCACCCGGTGGAATCCCCAAGGCACCCAAGTGATGAAAGTAGATTATGCGTTTACTCACGACCGCCACCGCCTGAGAAGATCAGGAGAGGAAGGAGGATATGAACTGATTCACTTCTTCCTGGGTTGGACACTCGATCTGCCTCTGTTCCTCCTCGTTGTAGTTCCCTCCGATCACGTTGTGCAACTGCTGGTATGCGCTCACCACGTTGCTCTGTGGTGCAATGGAATGCACATTCAATTATCCCTTTACAGGTATGCTTATCCTCCTAAATTATTTCAAAAATAAAAATAAAAACAGGAGTCTTTTCCCCATTTCTCAAAACAAAAGCAATAGGTCTCGCAATGCCAGGAGAAAATTTCTCCTAGGCAGCAATACAATATTATGATGGAATAATAAGTTAACTAGAAATATCCTTAAGTTACAGGCAGCAACAGCTCTTCAAAATGCCAGTGACTATAATACCGGGTGAGGCGAGAAAAACCGCCACGCTCTTTGAAAATTCGTGGCACCTCTGAAACAGGAGCTAGAATAGTTCAGTATTTTTTTTTACTATATAAATCTCTATGCATACTTTTATCATCCGAAAATGTTTGCCTGTTTATCTCTGACCGTTTTAACACACGAGTGGTTTCACAAAAACGAATGGAAATTTATTTTTTCATTCGTACCTGGACGCTGACAGGAGGACCTGCCTCACTCACTAGGAAAGACAAAGCAGAGATTTCAAACTCAAATCGGTCGGCAGGCCGCATGCCTTACCCTGCAGATACATGCAGGCCGCACCCATAATTTCTCATCAAAATCTGTGCTGAAAGTCAAATCAAGCGGAAATTTCAAGAACAGGCGGCGGGCCGTATGTTTGACACCCCTGCTTTAAAGGGCTTCTTCCTCTGCACTTCAAAATTGGCCGAGCAGATTTCTATCGCGTCCTTCTGGCAATTTGCAGATGGGAATTTTGCATCCCAGGATTATCATATTGACAAACAAAGACTTCTTCCACATGAACGCAGTTTCTTCCCGTTCCGGCTAGTTTTGATCTTCTGCTTCTTCACTTCCTCTCAGATGAACCGTTACTTCGCAGTTTGCAAATACACCTCGTAACGATAGGCCTACATTTTTTTCATCTTTTAGCCAGGAAATTCGTGCAAAATTCTGCCCCACCCCATCCTTTCTAAAAACAAAAAAAACAAAAAAACAAAAAACCAGCATTTTTAAGAGCAGATGCTCTGGCCCGAGATTGGTGCGCTTCAAGCATTCCAACAACTCTTCCACTAATACATTCCCTTGCGCAAAAATAAATTCTGGTTGCTTCCGCGTTTTCGTTCCTGTGCTAAAACGGATGGAGAAAAATGGACAAAAATGTTAGAACGTTTGAAAAATGTGTAGAAGTCGCTGTAAAAAAAAAATTCTGCCCCATTATCTGCTATCTCATGAGCTCCAAATGATCTGAAAGAACGGCGCGGTTTTTCCTTTGTCTCACCCAGTATTTCCACTATCAGGTGAGCCTTCCAAAAATTGTTATTTATATTTAAAATACATGTAATTTTGGGCTGCTATCACTTTAGATATCGATGGACAAAGCCAAACAAGAGACATACCCGAACAGGTCGGAACAGGATCATCTCGGTGTCACGGTTAGCAAGGTAAAGCTTTAGGCTTTTGAGGATGGCTGGAACCTGGGACTTGAGGAGGGCCTGTCCATCGGCAACCACCTTGTGCACCTCCTGGGGATGCGCCCATGCTTCCCCCCGCCAGCTTCCCTCACCTTCACTCTTTGTCTGGTTCTGAATGATGTGGGGACTCGAGCTGCGGTCTTTGGGTGATGCTGCTCGGTGGACCATCAACTGTGGATCGACAAAGATTCCGATTCTATTTGTATATTTTCTGACAATTTCGTCCTCAGTTTCAACATTACCATGAAACATGAGTGTGACGTCAGTATTCACTTCAGATTAGAACCCCCCCCCCCCTCCCGCAATTCCAGAGTAATTACATGGTTTAGTAACTCAGCTAACCAAACCCCTTTCAGCCTATTAAAAGCCCTTCAACTTTACCATGAATTGGAAGGCAGGGAGGCATAATATGACCTTTTCAAATAAAGCATGGACAGGTGCAAGCAGGATGCGGGAGACGGTGTCAATGAACGCCTCACACCCTCGCTTGAGGCGCTGGTCCACCTCTTTCTTGGAGTCCAGAAGGTACTCGTGCACTTCAGGGGTCCCCTCGAGGAGAAATTCTAGGATTGCGTTGTTTGAGCCCAGAGTGAACAGCTGACCCCGCTTTTGCAGTAGACCCAGAGCTGAAAATGGAAAGAAAAACTAAAATGAAAATTCAAGTGTCAATGAAATGAATTATATAGAAAAAAAATGCCAGTCAATTGCTGAGCATTCCTTGTAAAACTGGATCTGGCACACAGTCTTATACACACTTTTCAAGAAGTACATTTCTCCTAAAAGACAGCAAATTCAATTTCTCATAAATTTTGTAAAGCTTCAGACACCTTAGCTTCGATGCAATATGTTGCCTAAATATAAATTTCTTGGACTTCTTATCTATTTAAAAGGAATGTGTAATCACAATGCAATGACAAGGAAATACTGAACTGTTTGTAATCTTTACTGTAACCAGTTGGCCTATATGCTTCAGACATCCTAAGACAGGGTGACCATACGTCTTGGTTTTTCTTTTCCTCTGCCTTTTTTTTAAATTTATATTTATATTTTCATTTTTTTGCTTGTTTGCAAGAGCATCACTGCTTCCATACCAGTGTTATCAAATTACAAAATGGTGACGTACACACTGGGTAGTGTGTACAGTGACTGGGGAAGATTAGGGAAGCAATGGTTCTTTTATCTGTTTTTCTTTTGCCTTGTGATAACTTTTTTGGAGGGAAACATTTTTTTTAATTACAGAACTAAGGGATTTTGAAAGTTTCAGCATGCAAAGGGAATCCACTCCTGACATCGAATGTGGAAAGTAGTACTTCAGCAAGTGATGAAATACTATTTGATGGGCCTAGCCTTGTTTTTAACGTTTTCTCATTATGATCTTCCAACTATGGTGAAATAAGTAAATTATGATGAATCTGCATGAATGCCAAATAAAGTTGAAGATGATGTGAAGATGACATCCTTTGCTTGTTTCTCTTGATGGACTTTCCTAATGAGAGCTAAAAACTCTTAAATTCAATAGATTCAAGTCAGTCTGCTATTTCTAGACCCAAGGTCCTAAATGTGCGTATGTGTAGACCTCCATTGGCCAGAGCCAAGGACTATGTATGTCAACATTAGCTGGCACACCTGTGGTGCTTTTCATTTTTCCAATTGATTATAGGTGTTTTCTCTAAGAAAATCAAATAGGTGTAGTCTTTTGTGGATCATGTCAACAGGTAAGGGACAAAAGAGAAGAAAATGCTGCTTCAACGAGTATTTAAAAAAAGAGTATCCATTTTTGACAGCCCATGACAAGCCTGGTACTGTGTTGTGCACAATTTGCAGTACAGTTTTTTCCATAGAACACAGTGGGAGAGGAGACATTGTAGAGCACATTGGCCTAAAAAAGCACAAGGATGCACAAATTAGTTTGAGTTCGAGTACATCTATTGCAGCATTTTTCGGTGAAGGATGTTTCACCGAGAAAAGTGCTTTTTCTTTCCATTCTGGTGTCCCAGTATTTCACATTGCAAGGACTATCATTTTGACATTTTCTTGAAAATGTCCCAGTTTTCCCAGAAAAAAATCTGGTCACCCTATCCTAAGATCCACTTAATAATCTGAGCCATTATTGCATTTTGAAGCTTGCTTTTATATGTAGCTAAGCTTGATGATTTTGATGTAGCAAAAGCTCGTTTGTTGGGCTGGATAAACAGCATTGTCTATTTAGAAAATCTGGCTTGAAGTTATATCATTTTGCTGTATAAATCATGTGTCTCTTGGGACATATGTTGCATATGCTTTCCACTAAACCAGACAGATGATGATGAACTGGTTGCTGAAAAGAAGTCAACAAAACAATTTGAGTTCTTTTGCTGAAAGCAAGTTTTCTTTTTAGTGTGGCACATCTAACAAAGAAGTGGAAGATCTTCTGCTCTAATCCGAAACTGGGTGTCATGCTGTTCCCCATTTGCCCACAGGCAAACAACTCAAGCTCTCCAAAACATGGACTGACTCCCTGCAATCAAGTGAGTTCTGCACATCTCTATGGAAAAGTTCAGTTTTGATTCTGAGGCATGGAGCACAAAGCAGGCCTGTTTGCACAGAAATGTAGGAGATTCATGGCAGCCTCATGCCAATTTCCTCAAGTCATTCCTCTCCAAACCATGATGTATGATGAATTCTCTCTTCAATAGATTTGTGCATTGGGGTTTAACATCTTCCCTCTCACTTGTAACCCTCCTCCACTGACAGGCCCCTGCAGCTAAGAGCCACTAGCACATTTCCTAATAATTCAATGTGTCAGCTATGGGCAGAAAGATCTATTATTGTGAAGATCAACCATGAAATAATGAGTTCCTTCCCCCCTTTTCATCCAAAACCCAACTGACATTCCCTTTCAATGGAAAGAATGTGATGTTGCCTCAGAATTAAATATTAAAAAAACCTCAACCATATTGGTCAGTTCTTGTCTGTGTCTCTCACCTGCAGTTTTGACTTTGGAAAAGTCCAGGCTCGTCTCCTTGACAGCAAACTCAACGTGGAATGGAGCGATCTGCTCCCGAAGGATCAGCAGGTGCTTGATCTGGAACAGCTGTGCATCTATGATGCTCTGCACACATGGATGCAAATCCCATTGTATCAAAGGGAGTTTCCAACACAAGAGTTTCCATTGACATTGAGTTATACTAGAGATAAAAATTTGCACTAACTAGGGTTTCTCACAATTAACTCACTGGTGTCACTGTAAAAGAACACAGTTAATAAGAATAGGCGCATGAGAAGTCATGTTCAACATTACCCATGCAAGTGCATAATACAGCTCTTCCTCTAGGGTTCTTGCAAAAAATGTTGAGACCCATCCTCCTCCCCCCAACTCTCTGTTGTTAATTTTCCTGTCTAAAATTTATCATTTGTTATACGCAGTCTCCTCTTGTACCATCATTAACCTGCAGCATGTCCTTGTTAAGAAACAGGTAATCATGGCTTCTCTGACTTAAAGAAAACTGAGAAAACATTCCAGACTCTTGGATTTCAAGTCTATTTCATTGATTTTTTAAAATGTTTTCGGTATGTGAGAACCTTAAATCAACTGACTTACAGTCCCTATATAAAGTGTAACCTATTCCCTTGCCAACTATATGGACATAGAAGCCACAAAGACGAAAAGGAGGAAAAAGCATAAAAGAGCTGACCCTGCGCTGGGCAATCTGGGAACCAGCATTAGATAGGCTTTGGACACAGAACTGCAATGCCTCCTGGGATATCCCCTGGAAGGTGGCCTTGTCAAGACAGCGGTAGAGCTTGGACAGCATCACAATTGTCCGCCGCACTGTCGGGTACCACATCCCATGCAAGTCTGCAGGTGAGTCTGAAAGGCAAACACCCCATAGTCTGACTTAGAATGCCCACAAAAACTTGAATTACCTACAAATTGGTTTAAAAAAGAGCACACAAAGAAAGTTTGTGGAATGTTCCCATTAAGAGGAGACTGAGGTTATGCCAACATTGGGGCTCTTGCTTTCCCATTTTTAAGGAAATCAAATAAGCCATTAAAAATGAACTCTATTTTATCTTTTCACTATTGTAAGTTGATTTGATGGGGGGGGGAAGAGGAAAAACTGAATAATGACTGCCATGGGGTGTATGAACAAGGAGGTTGGAGAACCACACAATACATAAGGAAATGATAATGGAAGAACAGGCAAGACCAATAAAACAAGTACAAAGAGGATAAATAGGGAATGCAAATGACTGGCAAAAAGATGGAAGACATAACTGCATAAAGTCACCACATATAATGAAAACTTGAAGAAAGGGATGACAAACAACTTACACATTCACCAATTCCAATGCTTACATTACTTATTTCTGATGATTCTGTCTGGAGTGTGGAGAATAAACAAGGACAGAGGAAAAGAAAAGGAACCAGAACTGACTTCCAGTCTTGGATCGAGGGGTGGAGGCTCCTGAGGCAGGGCGATAAACAGGAGTGCTCATGCCATTCAGGGATGGATGATCATTCTCAGCAGACACAGAGGATCCACGAAGCATTGCCTCCTTCTCCTGCTCCTCACGTACCAGGCTCTCTGCTATGCTCTGGAAATTTGATCAAGTGATGTAAATTTGAAGATTTGGAGGAACAACTGTAGCTTTGTGACAGTGCTGCAACATGATGAGGTGATATGCCACCTATCAAAATCTCAACTAATTGCATACAACTTTAAGACAAGAATGAGGAATACCAACCCAGATCTTCCCTGAATTCTTAGTTCTGAATACATCTTTGCATGTGTCTTCTTTAAATTCAAAAGAATCACAGAACTATGGACATTTCTTTTGTGAATTGACAACCACCAGAATCATTTGCCTATATGGCATGATCTTTATCATAAACCATTGGCAGGATTTCACACTATTGTTGCTAATGCTTCCCACACAGAGAAGAGATAAAATGTGTGAAAATGGCCAAGAATCAGATTCCCATCTAAAATTCAAAATATTACAAGGCATTAATTCAATCAATGATTCAATGCAGAAGAAAGTCTCTCCCAGCAAGAAATAGCTGGAGGAAGGCAAGCTAAGGGTGTCATACAACTGCCACAATCACACATGGAAGAAATCTCTGATCGAAGAAGAAAAAGAACAATGCAGACCTGCATCATCTCCAGCTTCTCTGGGTAGGCAAGGTCACCTGGGGCTGGGTTGTAGCCAAGGATGTCAGACTGGATGTAGATGTGTGAGCAATAGACCAGTCGTTCCTGGATGTCCTGTAGCATCTGCACCACAACCATTTCAAACGCTGTCATAGCCACCGCTGTTGAAAAAAATAATGTGATCTCACTTATTACCATACTTTTTATCCATTACCACACTTGACAGGCATAATTCATGATCAAACCTCACAAATAAACATTTACTACCATGCATCTCAACATACTCATTAATCATATGTCATCATTGGTAGTTCATGATGCATACTTGATTATGTGAAGATTGTTACCTTGTACAGGAATTGTTCATCTCAATGAAAATAGACGTTAGAGGAATGGAGCAACAGGACTAACGGGAGGTGCGGACATGTTCATGGATTATCTCGGAGCGGAGGATGGAGCAGAGTTCAGCCAGTGTCTCTAGGTGCCGGATATGGACAAACATTGGCCGGAGGACATCATACAAAAGTGTGCACTGACCATCCAGGAACTTCCTGCAACCACAAGCAATGACATGGCTAATTATATTCTATTCTGACAATCACTAGCAATTGGCATGAGTGCCCCAGAAAAATACTTTTATAGCCACAACCAACTGATGAGTGGCATCCCCTACATGTGATGATGGTGGACCTATAAACCTTTTCTCCATGGTGTAGTGAACTGCTTAACTATGACTGAAGGCCATATAACCAATAGACTTTGAGATAAACATCTCCCAATAGCCAAACTGATTAATTGGTCATACTGTCTATTCTGTATTTTCCCAGTAAATTCAGTGGCTGAATATGAAAGAAGAACATATCACAGGAAGACAGTCTTGAGAGTGCTACTGGAAAAGTTCTTCGGATACTAGTGCAAAAAAATCTTGAATATTTTACACAATAGGTAGTTCTCATTTGCATGTTCTTTGTTCCCTCAAACACTCCCATCAACCATTTTTTGTTACAAGCTCAAAATATTGTCCCCTTGTTTTCCTTGATATAAAATACCAACAGCCATGAACATATTGATTCTGTCAATGTCACTTCAATACTTTTATGTGAATAAAAAAAGAGTGAGAAAGTGTGGCATTGGTGTTGAAAGATACCAATCTTGATTCCACAAGTGACTAAAGGACCCCTGGCTTTCCCAGTATGAGAATCAGTTCAGGTATCAGTAGGTTGCTGCAGTATGAGCTAAATTCTTCTGTAGGTACACCGTGGCTCAATACTGGTGATACTCGGGAGGAGTGGGAGGGGGTTGGCTGCTTCAGTTACGAACTCCCAGAAAAAGCCCCAATAAGAGAGGGAGTCTTTCTATTGTGATGGCATCGAGCTAGTCGCACATCCATATATATGCAATTTCATTGAATGGCAAGGGGATTCACTCGTTCAACCCTAATGGATGGATTCTGTTGGCATGCCCAGGATTGCTACTGTGATTATAGTTGCAGGGAGGACTCAAATTATGGAGCCTGGAAAAAAAAATTAGGGAAGAGAAACCATTTTATAATTGTGCATGGTTTCATATGTTTCGAAATACCTCCAAACACGAGGTCACTTTGAGTTTGACAACACTGTCAGTGTCTCCAATGTTGTCACATCCAACATCCTCAGAAGACATGGTGAAGATATCGAGTGCCTAAGCACACAGAGCAGCAGGCAGAGTCAAGGCACAAATTGAACCCACAAATTATGGTTATTGGCTCTTGAGACTGGATTAAATAGATTCCTGTGAGTTCCAGGAAGGCTTCAGTGTTTTCCAGATGGTGGGCATCACCATGGATGGAGATGGGGAGGATAGCTGACAACATATTTAATTTTTTAGAAATGGCTCTTCAGGTATGGTGCTGCGGTGGCGGTATGATGAGAGGCAGTGTCCTACAATTTCCATACTGTGGTGACAGTATGATGAGAGGGAGTATCCATACCATAATGATGGTACGAACAAGGATGGTATTCCACGGTTTCAATATTGTGGTGATATACCAAAAAATGTAGAAGAGGTTGGTATGATTGTCATGAGAACTGAATACCGCAATATGATGAAAATACTGGTACACCGCAATGCCCTTGGTATCAGCCACAAGTGAAAGAGCACTTGAGGTATTGGGAACATTTTTTGACTGGTACCTTCCCTTTACTTCAGCTTCCCCTTCAGCTGAAGCTGAACAAATTTTATAATTTATATTCTCAAAGATTTGTTTTTTTTTTTGTCTTTCATTGCACTTACTCAAAGATCTCACTCTCCTTGCTGAAAAATTGGAAAAAGAGGTTGGTCTCATCCTGGCAGAGGTGGGCCAAAGTCCCACACCCACTCCGCACCAGCCCACACTGGTCCCTGTATACAGTAAAAATATATACTGATGAGTCACTATTTCAAGTGAAGATCTGATAGATCACATAAGAAATGGAGAGACATACTTTGGATGGGATGCGACAAGCTGGTTGAGCTTTGCCCTCACCACAGGGGTGAGGAGCCACTCTCGTTGAAGAACAAAACATTCATGGCACTCTCGCACCAGTTCCTTGTACCTGCATGAACAAACATGGCACCTCTTGAATGGGTCATCTGGTGGCAGGTTGCTGGCAAAAGCTTTCAGGGTTAGAATGCATACTACATGCATTAAAATTTTTAAGAGTGCAGGGGCCTGCCAAGCTGCATGTCTACTGGTTCATGTGAGCTTTTATTTTGGAGGGGGGCTTTGATTCCTTATGGACCATCAACAGCAAACTACAGGGTGGTGCATCTAAAAGAGGCCCTACATATTTGTATGTAAGTGAATATGCCTGAATTGTTTTTTTTTAAATATTTATGACAAGAGTTCTTACAGTACATATACATGTCATACTGTTAGGGTTACAACATTACAGGATGTGCTGGAAGTGATGGCCCTCTGCAGCAATACATGTCTGAACCCTGTGCAGCATATTCAGCACAACACATTGCAGTTCTTTCTCAGAAATGGTGGTAATTGCAGCAGTGATGTTGCCTTTTAATTGGTCAATTGTTATTGGTTTCTTCTGGTACACTTTACCCTTAAGGTTCCCCCACAAGTAAAAATCGTCAACAGCACTGTCACACACTGCGTTCCTATTGTCTGAGAGCACCCCACAATATTGCACTGCATCTGCACATGTGCTAGGCTTGTTCAGGGCCTCTTTTGGTTGCACCACCCAGTAGTACCATTAATTGAGTGAAATTTAACAATAAAGCAGGATACATTCATCATTCAAAGTCTACTTGTGCCTGATTATAGTGGCAATCTATTTAAGATAGGTCACCTAGTGCTGGCAAACATATTAAACATTCATCCTTCAATTATGTGTAGTTGGTAGTGGGTTTATATGGTCAGATTCCTCGAACTCCTAAGTCACTATAACAAACAAGTGCTTTTACTTACCTGACTGGAAGAAATTAAGAGATTACTAAATATACATGAATATAGAAATGCTAAATACTGCATAGATGAACTTTGCTTTTTTTTCCATTTCTACCACGGAAAGTGACCAGGGAATTATGTTGAAAGAAGAAAAAACCAAGAGAAGCCCACTGGTCATTGTCGTCGGAACGTTGCTCAATCTCATGCATGAGGTCCTTGATCTTGGGGGCATGGGCACGAAACTTCCCATAGAATGGGGTGAAGGCTGTGTCAAGGTCAAGGATTGTGTCCTTTGGTGGGGCCACCCGCTCCCTGGTTGCTCGCAACGTAGCTGTCACGTATGTCCGGATCAGCTCCAGTGCCTTGGTCTGGCAGGCACGGAACTTGGCCAGGTATATCCCTGACTCCTTGAATTTTGGCTAGTGAGGAAGGGGAAAAAAAGCACATGGAAATGTCAAGAAGTTGCACTGAGATTATGCCTGTTTTTCAGCATTTACATATCTCAAAATCTTTGTTTCAAGGTGTGTAACAGCAAGCAATATTTAAACCATTAAAATGGAATATAATTGTCACCATTTTGTGAATGTGCAACAAGAATATGGTAAAGAGGGATATACAGAAAGACACAGGAACATGGGGAGAGGAGAGTCTCACATGAGCTTGCATATAGCTGATGCACTGATCTAGCTTTGTGAGAGTGGGGACGAAGGCATCGTTGTGGACGGAGAGTGTTGGAGAGCTGAGGCGTTGCACTATCTCATCCAACTCCTCAAAGTATCGCAGCCGAGACTCAATTGTCTCTGCATGCCGGCTCAGCTCCATCTGACCAAACAAGGACATAACAAAACTGATGAAGTTTGACAATCATAGCACTGAAACCAGGCAACTCTGACTCATTCTCACTCTTATTCCATCCCATTTATGCACATTTTCAATGAATTGAGGACATAAGATGGCTTGGAGGGCCTTAAATTGCTAAAGATCAATGTTTTTTCTTTAAATATTGTTGTCAAGCAATGTACATACAGTACTTATATTCACTGCTGATTCTATAGATTTTTGAATTTATGAACTACACCAGAGGCTTCCTTCTGAAAGAGAAATTGCATTTACACAAAAGAAATATCAATATATCTCAGTTCTGCACAAGTCAATGATCATAGACTCTGGAGAAGTAGCAATGCCTCACAACTTACTCTCCTATAAGGAAAATAAGACGAGGTCTTGTTGATTTCTAACGAGATGAGAGATGGTGCAGTAAAAATGTCATAATGATTCAATAATCAGTGTGAAGCTGGGTCATATGATCACAGTTTTGTTTTGAAAGGAATAGAATTGTTGGGGATATCTCATTGATTTGGCATATTTTGACTATTGAAGGCTCCATCTCATACTAGGATAAGTACAGTTTTCTTGCTCTCCTGTTACATCTATTAATAGGGCGGGGTAAAAGTTACTATACAGTTCTTGTATACCAAAAGTAGCTGTTTTCATATTTTGGTTCTCTCTGTTTCAGAGTAATACTGTTGGATGAAGCTAGTAGCTTTTGAAATTACATTGCATGATTATTTTTCAGTGCTATTTGTGTTTTTGTCTTAAACAATGGTCAATATGATGTTAGAATTTAGCCATGTTCTATGTACAAAAATTGTATAGTCACTTTCCCCCCCCCCCCCCCTCTGTATATGAGCTACTTCTACCACTTTACCCTTGTAATCTAGTGAAGAAGGGGTTTTTTAAGAGATGAATGAGAAAATAGACATATGCAGGCACACACTTTTTGAATAGCAATGCAAATAATGACAGCTGAATTCTTAGACTGCATGATTCTATAATGAAACAATTGAAAATGCATGTCATAGAGGACCTGATCAGCAACGAGATGCTCGCAGGCCTGGTGTAAGGAGTTTGTCTTGTTGGAGACAAAGTCGTATTGCGTGGAGAGAGAAAGAAGCTGGTCGAGGGCAAGCTGGACCTCATCAAGCAGTGCTTGGCATCCGTCCCTCTGGCGCCCCAAGGCCTCCACATATTCCCCATGTGCTGCATCCTCCTCCTCCACCATCTCCTTCTCAACTTCTCCATACCATGTTAGGAACTGTAGGGCATTGTAACATATGTGATGGAATGTAAGAAGAACCCTAAGGCGTTTTATCGGTATGCTAGTGGTAGGTGTCAACAGTCGATCGGGCCGCTAATGAACGAAAAGAGGGAGTTGATTGCAAGTGATAAGGATATGGCCAGTATACTTAACGAGTTCTTCGCTTACGTTTTCACTGTGGAATCCCACTCGGCACCGACTTTGGAGGAGGTGACCTTGGCGCGCATCGAGACGATCGTGAATATGATAGGGAAGTTAAAGGTGGGCAAGGCGACCGGCCCCGATGGGATTCCTGCGAGTCATTAAGGAAACCGCGAGAGAAATATCGGTTCCACTAAGAATTATATTCGAAAGCAGCTTTTCGCGCGGGGAATTACCTAAGGACTGGAGACAAGCAAACGTCGTACCGATCTTTAAGAAGGGCGAAAAGAGTAATCCAAGAAATTACAGGCCGGTAAGTCTCACAAGTATCCCAGGGAAGATCATGGAGAGCATACTAAGGGACCACATTTTGGATTTCCTCGAAGGAAGCGTGCTCATTCGGAACTCTCAGCACAACTTTAGAAGGCATTGTAATTGTCTCACCAACTTGCCCGAATTCTACGATTGGGTGACGTAAGAGAGGGATAAGGCGAATCCCGTGGACATCGTCTATTTAGATTTCGCGAAAGCTTTCGATACCGTTCCTCACAAGAGGTTGCGGGTTAAACTGGAGGCGCACGGGATCCAGGGTAGGACGAGTGAGTGGATCAGTAGCTGGTTGGCAGGACGAGAGCAACGGGTGATGATAAATGGGGAAGCGTCGAAGGAGGTCGGAGTCGCAAGCGGTGTCCCTCAAGGCTCGGTCCTTGGACCGCTTCTGTTTTTGGTCTACGTAAATGATTTGGATCTCGGCGCAGAGGGTAAGATAAGTAAATTTGCCGACGACACCAAGAAAGGTTTTACCATAAGGGGGGAGGCGGATAGGGCTAGAGCCGAGCGAGATTTAAGTCTTTTGGACGAGTGGAGCAAGAAATGGCTCCGAGGTTTAATAAAAGTAAGTGTAAAGTTCTCCACGTCGGTCGAAACAACGGTAGGTCTCTCGACACGTTCGGCGATGTTAAATTGGATGAGGCAAACGGAGAGAGAGATTTAGATGTTTCNCCTTTGCTACCTTTCAAATTTCTATGCTTTAATTGCTTGATGCAAGAGGCTACAACAGGTGGTTTAAAATTTGAATAATCAATTATGTAGCCAGCAAAAAATTTGATAAAAATTGTTGCAGATTTCCAGTCCTTGTATATAAAATTGAGGATGAAAAATTATTACCACACTAAAATCCATCAATCAACATTATGCTGACAAATGGTCCTTCAAAGAGCAAAGCAGGATTCAATTCCTTCCATCACAGCCAGTATTAAATAAATAAAAGGAAGAAGAATAACCTCTTGAGCATTGTCAATGGTGCGATCACCAAGTTCAAAATCTGCAAAAGAGGTGACAAAACCCGACTCTGAGGAGATGGACACTCCAGGGCTCCGTGGCTCTGGTGACAGTGGTGTCGCAGGCACCTGCACCTGACTATCCTCCATCGGCAACTATGGAATCAAAAGTGTCCCTCAGGTATGAACCTTCCTCAAAGCCTTTCACTGCATATATACACCATACTAATGTTTTTTTCAAGAAATCATGTTCTAGTTCATGTGAACAATGGAAGCAAGTGAAAGTTAAAAGGCTAGATTGTTACCTGCATGAAATAATGACCTTTCCATCTAATATACTTTCATTTAGAGTAAAAGTAAACATGAAATTGGGCTCCAGCATAGCAAAATACATATCACAACCATCCAATATATGTAGCTCTAGAACTGCAAAATGACAGAAAATTTAAAAGACATACAGTTAATTAAAAAAAAAGCAATTTATCAACCAATGCCTGATGATTTTTGAGCTTTGAATCACTAAAATTGAACTTACATTAGGTGGGAAGGGACGGGTGCCAGATATTGAGGTGAGTTCGAGAATGGCATCACGCTGCTCTGAGGAGAGGGGTGCCCGTGGGTGTGCAGGGTGTTCCCACTCCTGCACCCGCTCCAGCACTCCCACATCCGTCAGTCGACTGCTTCCGCTGCTGTTTGACATCTTTTACTGTCACGGTGGCATAATAAAAAAAAGTGCTTCCCTTCTCCCTTTGTTTCTTTCACTTTGCTGCTAAGATGGACAGTAAGCAGAGGGAGCTTAATGGTTGGAATGAATATCTGCACTTATGTGCATGCAGATGTGCCGTAAAACTGCAACAGAATCTCAACTTTCTTAGCATTTTGTGTATGTATGCCAACAATAAAAGGAAACTTAACAGCATCCATTTGTTTCCCATGCCAAAATGATCCACAAAAAGGGTATGAAGGGTTGGAATAGAAAAATGAGCAATATTATGCCAGATACACAAAAAACACAAGGCAAGACATTAAGTCATGGAACAGTCCCCATTCATTCTCCAATTCCATTAAGAAAATGGACGTTTTTCAGTCATAAGCAGCAATATTATCATTCTATCTCTTTACACATGAGGCAGTAGAAAATTCATGCTGCAAACTCTGACTGAACTGCATGGTGCAATTCCTTCTTGTAGAAAATCAGAACTAGAACTAGACTTCATTTTCATATGAACAGAAAATGACTAAATCAATGTACCACACCAAGCATCTTCCATAAGAGCTGGACCAGAAAAGTGCATGGCTGCAACACTGCACTGGTTGCAAGGCTGCAGATGTAGCCTACCAACCTCATGGATGGTTCCAGTGTCTGTATGATCCAGTCGTTCATCCCTTTACAATCAAGACTCAAATGGTAAATGTAAAATTTGCATGAGTGTTGAACCAAATTCAGGCAATACTGAGGATTTGCTTGATACAATAGATATAGGAAATTATGACTATTTGTACTGGTGTTCAAGAAATGAAGTGCAAAGACTAGGGTGCTAGAAGTTTCAGCATGAAACTTCAAGGATGCCAAAATTATTCCACTTTTTTTAATTATTGACACAGAGAAGCAGAGAACTGGTAATTCATTTGGTCTCTTCATTTGGAAAAGTTTTGTAACAGAGCCGAAACCACTTGCATTGAGACTCTATGCTTTGTACAAAAGAGTTTCTCTAGCAGTACAATGCCATTAAAACATGTATAAAAAAGGAAAATCGAGACAGGCATGCAATATCACTGCGAGTCAGAGGAGGAGGAAGAGGAGGAGTCAGTGGACATGACCTCAACATCCTCAACGTTGTCCTTGTGGGCCTTGTCTGGGAGGGGATGGCCCTGCCCTTGACCTGGTGGAAGTCCCCCTGCAGTCACATGAAGGTCTGGGTGCCAAGGGTAACCACCTGGTCCTGGTGTTGATACAGGCAGATCTACAACAGTAGCCATTGATGTATCACCTCATGCAGAACAGGCAAATACACTAATTTTTGTGTTTCTTGGGATATTAATACTGAAAGTGCCAAGTTCTTCAGAACTTAATTTTTATTCAGCAAGAATTCATTGAACAATCAGTAGGGCACAGTAGGAGAATATAAATATATATTTTCCACAAATCATGTCATGAATACTAGGTATTTTCCACTTCCAGTTTGACAAAAAAAGTTTCATACTGGTATAAATAAAAATAAATTTTTAAATAAAATAAAATAAAAAAGAATCCCCAATGTTCAAGAAAGGCAACTGGTAAAAATCAAGAAAAATCAAAAAAGGCAACTGGTAAAACTTTGGAATAATTTACAAGTCAGCAATAAAATTTCAACAGCAAGCAAGGCAAGACAAACTGAAGAATAAATACCTGGATGATGTGGTGGATGGGGCTTAGGTGGGATATTGCCATCTGGAATGGATGCCTGGGACTTGAGGAGACCCGCCCCACTGATGGGGAGGTCACTCAGACGGCCCAGAAAACCCAACCGCATCTCAATGTCTGTCCAAACATAGCAGAGAAGGGTGCAATTTTATTCACTTTCAATGAACAAGGAAATTGCAATGGTTTATTTTATGAAAAACTTATTGTCTACCTTGACTTGACACTGACTGCTTTCATGCATCTATCACATGTCAGGAGGCTCACTTTTTAAATACATAATATAGATTTGTTTTGCTGTCTTCACCTGAAAACAGTGGTGATGTCACTGAAATTCAGGACCTACTGAGCAGGACAATTATTAAGTCACCAAACATAAAAAAGGCTTTCTCATTTTCATGCCTTCAGGGACAAAATTATTAAAGCTAAAAAAAAAAATGTGGTTTGTTTTCTGGAGGAGCAAGTGGAAAATATCCACTGGTGCAGGACTGAACTAGTGCATTGTGATTAACAATTCTCCGGCAGTTGCATGCTGAAGGTGTTTGACAATGAATTTAAAAAAACTTTTGTGCCCAAAAGTTTTGCTGACAAAACACTCCAGTGATGAATTGATGTGGGCATTTATGGTCCTCTTTCTCAATCTATCAGAATAAAAGGGGCTCAATTGACAGGGCTGCTGTGGCAGATTTCATCACTCGAGCTAATTTTTCTAGAAAATATAATGAAACTGGAATGAATCTCACCCATCCACACAGGCCAATGTCCCCTTGTCAAGATTACTCACCTCGACATACTCAGTCATGTAGAACAAAAGAGGGACACAAATTAGGAAGGCAAAGGCTTTTGAGAAAGGGATATGGATGGATTTCTTTGTTTCCACATAAAGTTTGGTGTTTCCTTTAATGAATTCTCCCTTTTTGAGTCTGCTCCTCATGTAATAAGGCTTTTTTTTCTTTACAATAGTTTTGTTGACTCCTTGCCTGGTGAGCTTTTGTGTAGAATTTAGAGCTTCCGTGGAAAGTTTTTCTGAAATGCTGAATTGTTCAGATATAACAGCGGAAAAAATTAATTCAGGACTTGTAAATACTGACAAATGATATTCCTACTTGTTTAAATGGTACTGATAATCATTTGCAGCCTCCTTTCTTGTTGGAAAATTCTCACTTGGGCATGCCATGGTGGCCACAGTATATTGAACCCAATAATTCTGGGATGTGACAGTCAAGGGATTAAGGGCTACAAAAACACCCCACAACAAATTGTGGAATGTAACAATGTGGCAAATTTTCATAAGTTCCCAAAACTCCAAATATGACATGGCAGGGATAAGTAAAGAATATCCAACCAGTAGGGTAGGGGCGTCGAGGATCCCCCTGTTGCCAGTTGAGAGGTGCAGCAACTGCATTTGTGGAACTGATTCGGTGTGCATATTTGATGAGATCTTCTGAGTTCACAGGGCGTTTGCTCCCCCTGTTGATGGAAGCAAGCTTCTGCTTGGCTTGATAGATGGCTGTTGCCAAGAGCTGCTCAGCATCCTTCAGGTGTTTCTGCAGGAGACGGATCTCCTGGTCCTGCCTCTCGACCTCGGCCTGCAGCAGCAGCATCTTCTCCCTGATCCCAGCTTGCTCCTTTGCCACCTGAAGAGAGAAAAGAAACAGCATCAGCTCATTACTAGACCAGCCTTCCCTAAGATGAAACAGGGATGTTGATCAGAACCCTTGGAGGAATGCTAAAGGATTGGAAAGAGTAAGATCTAATGATGTGAGGTACAGATGCAGCCTTCACAACATAAAAAACCTAAGTCTAACCTTGAGGGTGGCCTGGAGCTGCTCTTGTTTCTGCACAAGGAGTTCTGTGAGTTGCCCATGCTCAGTTGCAGACAACTTCTGAGGCTTGGCTGCTAACGTGTTCTCAATTAATTCCCTGTGGTAAAAGATTAAAAATGTTCAATTTTGCAACTTGGGAATGTAGACCTAGTGTTAGGCTTGGCCTAGGGTAACATTTTGATCAAGCTGAAACTCCTTAAGGATGTTTAAAGGCTCCCCATTGAGAACTGACATGATGGAAACCTACTGTGATTCCTCCTCCTCCTTGGTATTCATGCCAGGACATCAAAGTAAATGAAATTGCAGTTTGATTCTAATCCTATTCTTATCCTGGCCACTTCATTCTAATTTTTATAAGGTGCACTGCTCAGAATTTATTTTCATTTCAAACTTACTATTATATTTGGTGGATTGATTATGCATGATAATGAACTATTTCTCAATTGAGATAACTTGAATTTAGTTATTGAGAACTATACATGCAAACAAGCAAAGATTTACTACTTCACATATTTTTCAATATAAAAGGTAAAACCCCATATTGTAGTTTAAAAAATGGAAACATGAAGTCTATAGGGAGAGAAACAGCAACACCATGGCAATCTCTTCAAGGCTTGGCCTTTGGCTCATTTCCAGTAAAGATTTACTTGGAGGTTTCTGCTTTCTTGCCAGTTTAAAGCCTTGCATGCAGGAGACCCTGAAGAGAATGTAATTTGTGGCTTAGGCTTAAAATATGATCAGGTCTCACTTATAACTTAGTCAGGATAATCAACCCCTCAAGGGAACCTCTAAGATGTGAATGTCAAACTAGTGGTCGGGGACTGTGTCTGACCCACCACAAAGATGCCAGTTAAAGTTTATGAAAACCCATAGTCAGATCTTAACTAGCTCATTTTGAAAATTTTTGGTAAAAAATGTGAATTTGTTAGAGTGGCCTTAAGCATTCCAGAGGGGTTCAATCTGACCCCAGCACAACAGAGCTTGACAAGCTCTTTCTACTCCTTCAAGACAAGTTGCAAGAAACCCAAGAAACTTCATATGGAGGGTAAAGGTAAACAAAAAAACTTGAAAAAATATACTCTGGAGAAAATGTTTAACAAGGCCACAAGAGGATGAACAGATGAGTTACGAAGATGTCCTTTTTCAAGGTGTAAAGAACCATCTGTAGCAAGAATGTTCTGCGGCATAAAAATGAAATGTTGCAAAAAAAAATTATTGAAAGAAAAAAGTTGGTTCGAATTCAACTGCATGTCACAGTATTCACGCTTGAAGTCGTTACAGAAATGGAGTTGTAATCCCGACGTACCCGCAAAAGAGGCTCACAGAAGAAAATGGGATAGGATTTACACATCTAGGCCTAATTCAATTCCAAGGGTGTCGACATGGACTGTGTTGCCAGTTCCCTGCCATGCATCAATTGTGCGGATCGGGGCCAACTTGATCTGCTGACTCGGATGTGAAGTTCAGATACCCGTAAAGCAATGTAGGTAACTCAGCACTTGCCTGAGTTAATCTGTTTCGTGAATTCCATTAGGTCATTGAGGTTAGAGGAAGAGTGAGACCTACCTTGAAATTAATTCGATGTCATCGACAATGGTAAGTAAGAGCTCCCGGGTACTGGGACTCGCCATCTTCCACGCGAGGAGGCCTTCGCCGCTCACACTTTTTATTTATCTGCCTGGTGACCGATAATCGGTGATATGTAAAAGTCCGACTGTAATGATGTTTATGAAGAGAAATGAAGAAGAATGCACTGCGAATAGTGAAAACTCGTCCCGAGTCATCAAACCGTTTGTCTTTCATGACTTCTGGTCGGATGATGAGGTTTTAAAAAATTCCTTTGCGGTGACACTATCATTGCATCTTATGACACTATCCTCATGGCTGCTTCTATGGTTGCCACGCGATGTTTTGCTTTTCTTGTCTATCTTCAATCCTCTTTGGTCAGTTGCCGTATTACATGAATGAATGAAAGTTATAGATTCGAAAAGTGTGCCTAGAGGAGCAATCTTAATTTCACTTTCCTTGCACATTGCAGGGAAAGTGAAAGGCAAATGTGGACAGTGCTTTAATAATGTCAGAAATTAGTCCTGAGTTTTGCATGACGTTTGAAAAAGGAATTGAACGGAGGGCTGACCCCTCGCTCTTTGAGCGGAACGTAGAGCCATCGTATGCCCAACAGTGTTTCCGGATTGACCTTTACCCACCTACCCCCTTCCTTGGTGCTGTTATCAATAGTGATGGAGAGGCACTTAGTAATTGCATTCATCGCTAATTGCGAAATTTACCTATGGGTTAAGCCGATGGAACGACATCCCTCTCGCAACGAGGGAACTGCTACTGCACAACTCGACGGTAGAGCTGATTGAAAAGCATGAAGCTCACCGCAACAAGGGTAGAAGTCAATCCAGAAACACCTCAAGTTATAATTTAGCACATTTAGTGCCAAATTGTTGTGTTCTTTGTGTCACGAGGCGGATTATTCACAGGTGAAATGATCATATTTAATTGCTTTTTGTCATATTGTATTTGAAATGTGAAGCAGGAAATCTCCAGATTAGTTAGTGAAAAGACTGTCAATTGACTGAGCTGGCACAGCCCCAACATCAGGGTTGAGCAGGGAGCCCACCTCTAACATCACTCATAATGTGGTAAAGCTTCTGGAAGTCCACTGAACCCAGGCATGTCTTTCAAGGTGGAGGAAGATGCTTCATTTGCCTTGTGGGAAGATTTTTGAAAAATTGTTTTCAACCTATTAGTACCAAACTAGACAGCTATTCATTATTGAAGGATGTCATAGTCATTAATAGTTTCTTACATCGTGTCAGGATTGAAAATAAGTGGCATGCACTTTGACTAGTTTAAGATGCCTTGTATTGAAAGGTTAGAAATATCTTTCTTGGCCTGGGGGCATCTGCAGTGAAATCAACTTTTGAAATTACTCATTAAGGATGCTATTCCTTGCACACTGCTAGGCTTTGAGTGAGCCCTCTGCCCTGACTGTAAGACTTTTGAGAAATCCTGCATTTCAATAGATACTCTCAGGTTGAAATTCCTGAAAATAATATACATGGCCGAGCCATCACTTTGGAATATGCAACAGCTATTATGATGTTTAAGTCTAACCCTAGACATCTTTTTTCTCTTGAGAAAGCCAGCTTGATTACAACTTAAAAGGCTGAGCTCTCTTCCATACAGTGTTCATCTCATTAACTGTGATGTTATAAGTCAGGTGACTTACAGCTCATCCCTTAAGTTAGGGATGATCCAGCTCAGCCAGTAGACACTGCCATGTGAGAATGGAAGCAAAAAGTACACAGAGCCTTAATACTGAATGGCTTATGGTCAAGGTCTAATCATGCATTGCTCTTTTTTCTGGATTTACCTTAGGCCTAAATGCAGTTTTTTTTTTTAAAGTTGGATATTGATTTTTTTTCTAGTGGGTGATGTAAATAATTTGTGAGTGATTTCTTTCTAGAGTGATAGAGTGCTGTTTTTGGTGATATTTTGGTGATCATTGGGCAAACAAGTATTGTAGGCCTAGCCAAAGTCTGAAATGGACAACCAGAGAGAGGATCAAGATAGAACCGATAGGCAGATGGAGAGAACAAATGCCCATCCACTTGTAAACTTGGTGAGCTATCAAAGTCCTTAAATCCTACTTTTAAGATTTTTACTTATGGGCTTAGATATATGATCTTGACCTTTGCTTCTACTTCTTTAAAGCCTCCATTAGAGATTCCAGTTGATGACCACAAGCTCCAGTATGTTTACTGCCTCTGGCACAGCCGGAAAAAGCCTGGTAATCTCAAGTTGTTTTTTTGTAGGCCTAGCCATGCAGATCTAAAAATCTGCTTTCTTTACTTAGTTTTGAATTTGTTGCCTCACAGGTAAACCACCTCCAACTCAGACATTTGATCAGACACTGAAGTTGGTATGCCGCTTTGGGACTGTGGAGCAGTTCTGGTCTTGTTATTGTTATTTGGCCAGACCTTCTCAACTTCCCAGTCAGTCAGATTATCATCTATTCAAGGAGGGCATCAAACCCATGTGGGAGGTGAGGCCAAATTTTGGGTCTTCTCTGGTTGCCTAGAAAAATATTATGAATGGTTGGTAACAAAGTGGAAAAGGTGTGAAGATCCAGTGAGAAAATGAAAATTTAAAGCCCTTGGATGGCATTGTTGATCACCTGGGTGTGTAGGTAAGTAGACTTGCTCCTTTAGAAGTTTTGAAAAATCAAAAGAAAGATTATGACATCTGAGTGTTTACGTAGTAGTTGATTGCTTTGAAGGAAGGACTGATTTTTTTTTCTTATTGGATTGCCTAATTTTAAGGAGAATGAGTGCAGAGACCAATACCCTTGTCCTATGGGAGAAAATCTCAAGAGGAAGATGACCTGAGGGCTCACAGGAGCCAATAGGAGTAGATGATGTTGCTATGTTGTGAGATTGGATAGGTTGTGGGCAACAATTTACAAGCCTATTAATGCAAAAAATCCTGGGGCAATCATCTATTGAGAAAGCAGATGGGGATAGAGGGACTGCTTCCCCTGAGTTGAGAGATATATTATACCAGGTGGCCAAAAAAAGTCCTGAACTTCACATGCCTGCAGATGGTGTACTGTATGAATTACAGACATGAAATTTAAACTTTTACATGCAATATTTACAGGTAATGTAACAAAATATTGATTGAAATTGGTAGTAAAATAAATGAGTAACAAATTTTCTCCTATGCAATGTTAAAAGACCGATTGTGTAAAGAAACACTCCTGACCTCAATGGAATATGTGCTTGTTGGTCCTCATTGGATGTGTCCTCTGACAATTTCCTGCTGAGGCAGCATGCTGTCAAACGCACTGACACACTTGCTCATTTGACAAGTTGCACAGAAAGAGCTCTTACTCATGTTCAGTGCAAGGAATTTCATTGAAATTTTCTTGAAACCATCTACATATATTGGGTATGGCACACTGAAAGTCAAGATGATGCTCAGCATGTGTCCTGTCTGTAGACGCTCAAAGTTCAGGGCTTTTTTGGGGGCCACCCAGTATACTGAGATGGACTATGTACATAGCTTTGCTGTGGAAAAGAATGTTATATGGAAAGGAAGCAGAACCATGTTGCAAGTATGTACCAACAAGGAATGGCAGTGAGTTGACTCAAATTTTCTCTTGACCCAGTCTCCATCTGCCATGCAATTGCCTGTGCACCTTTGGGACATGAAGAGGGTGATACATGCCTGAATGTGGAGGACCTCAAGAAGGTCTCTTATACATTTTCCCACCTGTGTATCGATGCTAAGTTTTAACAAAATATACAGAACAAACACCAAATTGTGTGATTGGTCACAAAATAGTATATTTATTTTCATTGAGACTTGCTGGATTGCAGGATGATGCAAACAGAGCAGGAGGGAAGTGGATAGTGCGTCTGCGCAAGGGCCTTTCTTCCCGATGCTGGGAAAACCTTATCCTGGCGATGCTCGGGGAGCAATTTATGGTTGGCGATGAGATCTGTGGTGCTGTCATCTCCATCCGATATCAGGTCTGGTGCATTTGATATTCAGTCCACTATCAACTTGAAAGCTTTACTAGAATGAGTTTCATGCATGCAGTGCAAGGTAGTACCACTACCATGGCTGACTATTGTCAGTCTAGCAGTATCCAATCTTGAATTTTTTCAACTGGTCCCCTTTCCAAAGCTTAAATGCATACTGTGTCATCTGTGAATAGAAACTGCACTTGTCAACTTTCATAGCCTGCAAATATGTATATTTGAGATTTAATTTATTCCCATTTTTGGTAGTACCAGTGGGTAGATGATAAGTTGCTTTCAACACATTATTTTGACAAAGTTGACCAAATCTTTTCAAATATATAGGTTTATTATAATGGATTTTTCTTGTGTTTTTCCACTTTTTTAGCAGTTAGAGAACTTATCAAGGGCTATGCAATTTGACTTAGGCACTTATTCATGATTTTATCCCTAAGGGAGTAGAAGTCCAGTACCTATATTCATTTTGTGCTTCATCAGCAGTCTTATTGTTCCATTACACTTTTTTTCTAGACATGCTCCAGTAGTAATAATATTGATGAGTCTATTTTCATGCTTTACAGGCTGTGCCACCTTCATTCATACACAATGCTGGACATTACCATTGATTTTTTTTTGCTTGCTTGTACAGTACATGTCATTAGTTGCATTCATATAATGGTCATTGTAATTTTAGTGTTTTCAATTTGAATTTGATAATTTTTCTCTTCAACCTGGAAAATTCTGATTTCACTATTTTTATGTAGGCGACAACTAAGAGAGTCTGTGTGCCTTGCTCCTATTGCAGTCAGGTGGAAATTTTCTAACTCAAGTGCAAAACTGAATATCGTAACAGGAGGACATCCTGTCAGTGTGGAACCGGACAGCAGGGGACCAGATGACGACGGCACGGATCCGTGACACAATCCGACGTGTCCTCAACCTCCCTCCCAACACCATTATGGAGTACAAAACCCACACAGACTCTATCAAGTATGTTCTTAAATTATCCAGGTCAGAGGTGGAATCAATGCATGCAATTTGAACCAGTCATGTGGGCTAATATCTTTGCCTTCATATAATGTGTTTGTTTTAGTATTGTTTGAATTGAAATTATATCTGTGGTTAGAGCCTCTGTTCCATGCTGTCTGATTCTTTGAATATTTTTGCATGCATGTAGCTTATCAGAATAATAAAATGTCTCATTACAATTCATACAGTGTTTTCTATGTTTTTGTTGTGATGTCAATTCATTTTTTGTATATGGACCAGATGCACATGTTAATTCAGCTTACAATTTTAAAAATTCATAATTGGCTTCTATGAGACTCCATTGGCCTGCATTCACATTATTTTCATAGGTTTCCTTTAAATTAATTAACTCGAGAGAAATTTTTTCATGCATGTCAACTAGTATTTTTATATTGCTCCAGTTGTGAATTCCCCATCTTTACACCCTGCATTCATTTCTATCAGGGACAATTCAAGTTTCCGCAATACCGACGTGTTCCTCAAATGAATCCCCTGGACTTGCCTGTATGGACGCGAGTTTTCTGCAAGCAGCCCTGTTGATCCTTCGTGTGGTTCTCGATCCACTGTGAAAAATATATTTATTCTCATGCCAGGACGACTTGAGGTCCCATGATGAGAGACACTTGTGTGAATAAATTTTGGTTTAAAATACTGTCATAAATGAATCGATACGAATCGCCTTCTAGGATGCAGCATCCATCATCTGGGAGTACTTGGAGGTCTTGTGCACAATTCCATTTTGGATGAGGTTGTGACCCATGTCAATCACACTCCTCTTGATCTCGGTTGGCTCGATTTTCAAAACATTTCGTAGCTGAAGAAAAAAAACCAGGAATGAAGAGATCCAGTGGAGGAAAGAAGTTGCCTTGAATGCATATTTAGAATGTCAGTAGTAGCATGAATGTGGTAGAGGGATACAATACAAGGCAGTTTACATGGGGAAACAGTTGTAGAAAATCGTACAGGCACGACTCAGCTTGCCCGGCAAGTCGGGAAATTCCTGGAACAAAAGGTGCCTCAACGGCGTAGTCGTCTCCCGTGACCCAGGAAGTTGGGCAAAATCTGGACCAGCAAACTGTTGGTTTTTCCCTGGGAATCTGGGAAACCAGTTCTGCCCGTATACCCATTCCATGTATACTTGGATTTTCTCCTATCTTTGTCATTTCTGGGTGTTCTGGTGAATTTGTTATTCTCGTGGTGACGGGCGTATGAGCCGACGGCATCCAGCATTTTTTCCAATTTGCAAGAAAAAATGCATTCACACAAGATGCTTGAGGTACGGTTCGAAGTACCCAAGTGAACCAAATGACAACTCGATTCCAAGTAAAGGGAAATGATGCAATGTTATACAAATAACGATCGTTTCCAAATGAAATCGCTGTCAAGCCAAAAACCTCAGAAAACATGGTTTCCGATTCTACGGCTTTTTCTTGTACCTGAAAGGCTTTTGTGCTTGCAGTTAGATGCTTGAAATACTTCATTTCCTAATGGTCATTGTGTTACTCTTCAGCTTCATTATAAACTTGATGAAACCAGGAAATGTCGCACGATACTGTGTGAATAACAAAGATTAAAAAAAACTCCATGAATTTCTGAGATTACTTGAGCCCAACGGCACTTCTTAACTCGTCAGTCGCCACAACCAATATTCAAAGATCGATATGAAATGCCTGAATATATGAGATGTGGCGAAAGCACTCACGCGGGAGTTATCGTAGTGAAGTTCCTGGCCCCATCGGGGATAGATGAAGCGCTTCATTTGCTTTTCCACGCAGGACGCCATCCACGCGACCCATTTCGGCATCGCGCCCGTCGGCGGCTTGTAACCGTACTGTGCGAACTCGTCGTGGAGGATCTGCGAATCGACGACTCGTAATACTTGTCCAATTAAGGAATCGAGGAATCGATTAATTAACCTTTGCGAAGTCCTGCATCCAGATGGACCCGGTGTAGACGATGTGCCGATGCCCCTTGGCCTCGGGCGTGGTCATCGCCTTGAGGTGCGCTAGCGCCACGTCCCGCACGTCGCAGATCTGCAGGGCCAGCCGTGGACACAACGGGAACTCCCTCGTCAGCACGCTCTTCAGGATCTGGGGGGAAAAGTTGCAAGCTGACGGTCGGAGGAATCGAGGGGCGGGGAGGGTGTGGGTCACCTGGGGGGAGGTGGCATCGCCTGCGGTCTTCGTCAGAAGAGGCCCCAATACCAGGGACGGGTTGATTGTCGCCAGCTCAAACTTATTCCCTTCTGCTCGGAGACAAAAAAGAACGGAACATAAGACTGAAAAGTTTCAAAGGTCATCGCTATTCCATGAATATTTCATCGAAAACATGGTGAATTGATTGCCTTCAAAACACCTGGTGATCGTGACGCCCTCATCAAGTCCGAGCACCGTAGGTAAACTCACGAATCATTCACGTGTAATTATGGGCTATGCTTTCATTAATAATTCAGCGCCTGGAAACGACGTGATGGATCACGTCACGATCCGATAGCGCATCCCCCCAAGTCTATAATAAGAGATGAAGTACCCTGAGTGGTTTTGACGAAGTCCCAAGCGGCCTTCTCGGCGAGGGTCTTGCTCTTGTAGTAGCCATCGCACTTGGGGTCCGTCGTGTCCGTCCAGTCCTCCTCCGTCAGCATCCCCTTCTCCGGCGTCGTCAACTTCCCTACGAAGGACACCGCGATGAGACGGCGGTACACGGGGACGGAGGGTGGGACGGCAGTCGAGGGTATGTGAAAGGGATGGCAGTCGAGTAGGATGTGAAAGGGGTGACAGTCGAATGGGGTGTGAAGGGATCCCCTTTCACGGAGGACTGTGATCCCCCTCCCCCTCCCCCCCTCCCCCTTCTGCTCTCAGAGGAAGGATGAGAATGGAGTAGGAGGCATTCAGCGAATTCCACTCGTTGCTTGTGGAAATGCTGAATGGGCGTTAATATTCCATCCTCATGGGAAATGGAGATGAGAAACTCCTCTGTCTGTGAGGTCCGGTCAACGAATGGAATTTCGTCGTGACCTTTAAGCCGTCGCTGAAGGGCTCAGACTGCGATTATGCCTTATCGAATACCTTGGCGAAGGCCTCGGCGGCGATGCAGGGTGAGGGGGAGGGAGGAGGGGTAGGGAAGGGTGGAGTTTGAGGGGGGGAGGAGGAGAGGAGGAGTTGGAGTGTCATAGAATCGTACTTTACAGGTCTGCAAAGTCTTCGAAAAAAAATCCAGTCCGTTTTCATGGACTTTCGCAAAATTCATTATTTTCAAAGGGGATAGTTTTTATTTTTATTCCGCAACTTCAGAATTTCGCTGCGAAAGTTGCAGGATAATTTGGAAAAGGGAAGCCGGGGAGCACGGCTTTCCACACTACAAAAGGCAAATCACTTACGAAATCCACGACTCATCGTTGAAGAGATCCGCCTCCACGAGTTCCAGCTGGTCCTCAAAGGCCTCCCCGGCCAGGGAATAAAGGGCCTTGGCCTTGGAACTCTCCTTGCTCCTCACGCTCCCCCGCACCTTGTAACCGTGCTCCAGGAGCACCTTAACCACGTGGTTGGCCACGTAACCGGACGCCCCCGTTACCAGTACCGTCGCCGTGATTTCCTCTGCAATTCAACCATGATTCCATCAATTTACAAATATTATAATTGATCATAATTAATTATTAGAATTATTTGTTATTTATATTATAACTATATTTTTATATTATAAATTTCGAATTTTTCTGGTGGAGAAAAGGAAATTCAAGAACTCAGTGGTTACAGCATAGTTGTGGTATTTACAACTAAAATCCAGCAGCCTCTTGCCGTGATTCTGGCCGTGCGGTCGACACGAAACGGATTTTCTTTAGAAATCCGCTTTAATTCCAGTTTATTTGAGAGGCTGGTTGGAGAATGAAAGATCTCACCCATGACAGAGAACAAAGAATGCGGAGTCAGCGTCTAACACGGAGAACACAGAGGACACGGAGAACACAGAGGACACGGAGGACACGGAGGAATCGACTGCCATGCATATCGGAACCTGCAAACGGATAAGGAAGACGATAAGGCCGGATGAGGACGGAGAAGACTCATCACGCCTGCCTCCAGGAATCCGAGGAATCTCGAGGACACGCGTCGACGTGGAGGACTTCTATGTCGTCCGATCGATCGAGACGACATTCGAGGAGGCGCTTCGGCGATGCGGGACTATTTCTTTTTTTTTTCATACCAAGAATCCTGCATTACAAAAATTCGGGAAATTCGGAGAAGAGGTTTGAATCCCATTGAGCGATTTAAATCCCTTCATCCATTTAAATCCCTTTTTAAATGCCCAGTTCCTTTAAACCTCCTCGAGCCTCTCCTTCCCCATCGACTCTACCAGCACGACGATTGCGTATCAGCGCGTGACAGGAAACGAGCACTTCACGCGCTCAAAGATAATGCACCGGCGCAGAATACACAGAGGGGCACGGAGGACCCGGCACGGAGAACCCGGCACGGAGGACCCTGCCCGAGGATCTGGCACGGAGGACCCTGCACGAGAACCCGGCACGGAGAACCCGGCACGGAGAACCCGGCACAGAGAACCCGGCACAGAGAACCCGGCACGGAGGACCCTCCAGTGCGAACTTCTTGATGAGACTGGGGATGAATCAGCGAGAAGGAGAGGGGACTCGGGGCGCTTTCTCACGTCCCGCTGCATCATCTCCGCTCTCTCGCCCGTGGAAAAACACGGAGATGGAGACGGAAGAAAAAAAATCTCTTTTCTTACCGGACGGTCGTGAGACGATGGAAAAGAGGCGTGAATGAACAGCTCCGAAAGTCCAACTGACGCGAAATTGAAAAAAAGAAACGCGAAATTGAATAGCAGCTGCTTTTCCTCGTGGAATCGCAATGCTTTCTTTTTCTGTCATTGTTCCCCGCCGGATCTCACGAAGATGACGGCGCTAGAAGTATTTTTGATACAGTCGGACAATGCTGTTCTCCCGCGCGATCGAGACGGGAGGCCACGAGACCCAGTTTCACAATGGGAGCATTTCCCGGCCTTCATCCGGGATTTCTCTTTGTCCTTCGTAATGGATGCTTCCGTCATGATGGATGCCTCCCTCGAGATGGATGCCTCCCTTCTCTTTTGCAGCGGATGTCGATTCTGCCTCCGTAAGTCTCGCGGTCGTTTCAGTGCCCGTTTCCGTGCCTGTTTCAGAGCCTGTTTCGGTGCCCGTTTCAGTATCTCATCCGGGATCGGAATGACTCGGCGTTTTAAGCAGCTGTCACGAGCCGAATGGAGTGCGACGTTGAAATGTTCTGTCAGAGATGCTCATCATTGTAACGCCACTCACTCGGCAATCCTTTCAAGGTGCATTTTCGCTTAAAATTCCCGTCATAACGTGAATGTTTTCCGAGAGAGTGTGACATTGCGATCCAGAAATGTTGGAGTTGGGCCAACCGAGACTTTTCGTCGTCGCCGACTGCCGAAAAGGATCGATTGCCGTTGCTGGAAGGATTTCAGCGCTCGTTTTGGCGTAAGCACGACGAGAAAAACTGCAAGACGACGTAATACAGTTAATGAAACGTAATACATGAGGAAATCGTGAAAAGTACGTTCGGCTCGTCGGATTTACTTTGCCGAGTCCCTTGCGAAGACCCAACGGTCACCCGCAAAAGAATGCATTATCTCTAAACATGAGCTTCCTTCTCGTCTCTCGATGCGTCTTTCACTTCCCCCTTCCATCCATCGACGAGTTGAAAGCTAAAAGAAAGCATGAATAATTCACAAAGTTCTTGCGACACGGACAAACGACACCCAACTAGGAAGAAGCGCGAAAGGAAAGGGAACTGTAAAGGCCGGTGAGGGAGAACGCGACACGTGTTCGCCACGTGGTCATCGTGGATGTTGGACCGGAAACGGAAGGAGGGCAGGGCCCGTTCCACGGATTTCCGGCGACTTCCTCCACACCCACGCCTTATTCGCATCGACCTTCGATGGAACGTGCAGGCATCAGATAAAATCGCGGCGTCGCTTAGTCTGGAGGACATGTTTTTTTCGAGAGCGAGATCCGAGTTCTTTCACGTTCTATAAGATGGGATTCGTGCTGAAGGCAAATCGGGACAGCTTGGAAGATGCAAACTAAGTGGCCTAAGGGCCTAAGTGCCCACATCTCCATCGAACAAAAAGACGAAGGATTCTCACCATGTGGTGATGGTGTGGTGTTTGACCGAGTTTAGGGAGATCGTGAGAGACTGAGACTCGGAACGAATCGAAACAAAGTTCTCGTGGATTTATTTAGGAAGTTTCTGCTAGTTTCATGTTAGGGAACCCGCGAGAAAGGGACTCAAGGAGCAACGATTTGGGATATTTTGAACCATTGAGGTGACTTAGATTAGACAAGCGATCTGGATCTGGCGAGGACAGACATTGGAGACATAGCCATGGCGTGGTCGAGACCGGAGGTGAGTGGGCCACGCGAAGCGATCGGACCAGGTGGACCTGGCGTTCAGGATGGAACTCTTACTGGGACTTCCACTCTGCCTCAGAGGGCATCCAGAAAAACCTCTCTCCCTATTCTGTGACAGGAGTCGACTTCCCGAATGAGGACATCCTTTCTACCGCGTCACCGGCTAAGAGGAGGTCTTACGAAAATTTGCAGCTGCTCTCAAGAGAGCACGGCCGACCCACCTCGAGGCAGACAGGCGATGGTCAATTACAAGTTCTCCACAGCGGAACGCATCCAAACCGATTGGACTTCGCATCTGCTCCTGCTCCGCGGTCAGGTACATTCAGCCCCCCGAGGCTGGAAACTCTAATTCAACTCAGATATATCGCGATGGCAACTTCGACTCAGAGAGGTAATTATTTCCTTTACCTTTGGACCCGAACAATTAAGAAATAAGGTAATAATTATTATCATCGCTTGGACGGAAAATGAAAATTTCACCCATATTTCTTTGAAATGTGACAGGCAACGAAGCACGTTGAAGGCAATTAATTTTTATTGAGGGCAATTGAAGGCAATTAATTATTATTTTGATTGACGTTTTATTGAAATATAAAATGTCCTGAAAAAAAATACCCTCACCCAGATTTTTTAAAAAAGGTAATATTTTCCACAAATTGGTTTCACGTATCAATACTTTTCGGAATATATCACATTAAAATACTGTTTGTTATTAGATTATGTAGCCTCTTCCTCAGCTTAAACTGTCTTATCGTCACATTTCTAAAGGGATTGTTTTCGGAGAATTTAAAATTTTTAAATCATTTGCTTTCATCCTCAGTTCTGCAGATTCACGTCGTATAGATCTTTTCTTCAAATCAAACGTACCGAAGTGAAGATGGATGGACTTCTTTCCTGCAAGGAAGGAAACCGTCTAAGTCCCTTCTTGTCCGTGCTTCAGTTTGTCTGTCCGTGTGTGTGTGTGGGGTTTGTGCGCGTGCATTCGTCCGTCTGTCTCGCACTTCGTTTGTCAGACGATAGAAGGGGAAAATGGAGTCGATCGGTGAAAAAGTGATGCGTCGGAAGGACGTGGGCAAGACAAAGACCGAGCGAGTGACAAAGCTCATGCCAAGACAAGATTCTGGAATAATTTTGGATTCGGAAATCGAGCCTCGCCCGGGGTGAGCTGTCGTGGACCGCAGACGCCCCTTCCCTTCCTACGGACACTCGCAGACCGAGAGTGAATCGCAAGGTCGCTGGTTCAACTCGTGGGATGCTCCACCTCCTCCTTTCTCCCATCTTCCAGTTTCCAACTGTCGGCGAAAGGGAACCCCGGTGCTAGACCACTGTTGCCTTACTTTTTTAAATCCTAATTTTTTTTATGTTCTTGCGGTCTACCACCTTATGCTTATAAATGCATAATATATCGTAACTATTTCATTGTTTTTTTTTTTTCGAGTTGAAGGTAAGGTGTGGCGCAGACGAAGTTGATGTTGATGTTTTTGGGATCGATGAAACTGTCCCCACGAGACGATTCCATCTGTAGAATCTCTTCATTCAGTTTATTCTATTCAGACCAAGGGAAAAAAAAAACTCATTGGATTTATCACGCGTTCATGCCATCTTGGATATATACGAGCTATATTTCTTTTTTAGCCTATTCCAGTGTTTGCTTCAATCGTTTACGATGCAGCACTTACCGCCTTATCTGTTCATTCCCTGTTTATTCTTTACCTATGGCACGCGAGTGGAGAGAGAAGGGCGGCCGTGGCCTCCAGCCGCCCGAGACTCCATCGCGAAGGGCCGTGCGTGCACCAGCGCCAGGTGGAGGTCAGTCGCTCGGCGGTACGCGGAGCGTCACGACGATCTTTAACCTTTCTTTCATTTCTCTACCTCCAAATTTTTAGGCAATAATTTGAACCAGGCATGACAAAGTAGAATTTGAAAAGCGGAAGAGGTATCGAGGTGAAGTTTCTACGGATGATAGATTCGACCAGAAAAGGCACGCGCATAATACGAGGGGCAAGATTAACATGCGGGAGGAGAACGGAAATACCGCATGATGGATAGAGACTATGCAAAATACCTGTTACCTGTTCATACTTTCCATGCTAAGCTTTTACACCTTGTGGCTTTGCCTTCTACGCTTATGTGTTGGAAATCTGGATCTGAGCCAATCATTCTAATCGGGAACTGAGCGTCTGTTGACGTCACGGGCGCCGTCGAGTAGACATCGACTCGTAGAAAAAAATGGGCACTATCCATTCGTGAACGAGGTCAAGAGTTACAGGTAAAATAACGGATCATTAAATGATTGAGCTGCAGTCCTGCCATCTGGCATTTACTCGAGCAAACAATGTTTCCACTAGAGAATAGTGATGGCGAACGAATGAAGAAACATCCCGCATGATGAAAAAAAGCTCTCTCCCTGCGAAGGTGACTTTTTTTGGTGCTTGCGGCCAGGGACCAGTTCTCGAGACCACTCAACCACGAGGTAAATGAATGTGGTCTGCACCGGTGGTTACTTTTGTTCAATGATCGATTATGATCTCATATCTATCGGCCGTTGCGTGTGACGTGCAGATAAAGGACTCAAGTCCCTCATATCAAATACTCCTT